TCCCAGGAATCAAATGCCACTTTCCTTGCCTTGATTCCAAAAAAGATAGAGGCGAAACACCCTAATGACTTTAGGCCGATTAGCCTGGTGACTAGTATATACAAAATTTTGGCTAAGGTTTTGCCTTTGAGGCTTAGAGCGGTAATACCTCCTCTAATAAGTCAAGCAAGGTATTGTTCATAAATTGGAATTAGAAAAAGCTTATGATTTAGTGGATTGAAGCTTCTTGATTGAGGTCCTAGGGAACTGTGGTTTTGGTCATGGTTTAAAATCTCCCTGATTTCCCTAATATTTCCACGACATTATTCAATTTTCATGGGTAGCAACACGAAATTTTACTGGATTCAACATTTCCCCAATGAACACTACCAACACTATGTGGAGTGCAAGAGATAATTTCCACAACATACTTCCATTTCCACTTCCATGGGTAACAAAATGAAATTTTACTGGAATTTACATATTCCCCATTGAACACTAGCAATACTATGTGGAATACAAGAGATAGTATTATAACATAATTTGGTAACTATTGTAGGTATGTGAAGTAGCAAGTTATTGTCCACCTAACTTATATGACTACCACTTTGAGCTAACTCAATATTCATTTCAAATATAAAGTTAAATATTAGTTTTCGTTTGTGTAATAGATTGTTTGGTTAATCTAATACAACCATTTACATTTTCTGTTTGTGTAATAGATTATTTGGTTACTCTATTACAACCATTTACATTTTCTATGAGTTCAAAGTTTGCTTTAACACATTCTATCATGAAGCTCCAAATCTTAAGGTTTACAAGGCAACTTTAGAATATATATTCTTTTATCTATAACCTTAGTTTCTTAGCTTTGTTTAATGATTTAGAACAAGATAATAATTTAAAAATGTGTGTCTATGCTTCTTTTATCATTTCATAAAATAAGAATCTATATTTTGCACATTTTACAATGTTTCCGCCATATCAATAATTATTACAATATTTCCGTACGACATTTCCGCCATGTTTCTTCTATTTTGGATGACCGGCATTTCCACCGACATCGACATTTCAAACCTTGGTTTTGGTGATAGGTGATTCAATTGGATGAAGGGTTGTATTAGTTCAATTCATTTGTCAATCCTAGTAAATGTTGTGGTTAAGGACTTCTTTCCAGCCTCTAGAGGTTTAAGGCAAGGCGACCCCATTTCCCCTGTTGTCTTTACCCTGATAGCAGATGTTTTTAGTAGGCTACTCCCAAAGGCAGATAGGGAAGAGGCAATTAGAGATTGGAGGATTGGAAGAAATAGTCTCAATGACCCATCTCCAATTTCCTGATGATACTATTATTTTCAGTGAAGGGGATGACCTAAGAAAAGTGAGGAATCTTAAAGCTCTATTAAGTTACTTTGAAGGTGTCTCTAACCTAAAAATAAACCTAGACAAGAGTTGTGTGGTAGGGATTAACCTAGAGGAAGGGTTTATTGAATCTGTGGCTAAGTGCTTAAGTTGTCATGTAGCTTCTTGGCCCTTGTCTTATCTTGGGCTTCCCCTAGAGGCTAACCCAAAGAGATGTTTTTGGAGTCCAATCCTGGAAAATTTAAAAAAAAAAAAAAAGCTAGCGGCTTGGAAAAAAGTTATATATCTCTAGGAGGAAGATTAACTTTTGATTAAAGGCACACTAGCTAATTTGTTAGTTTATTCTCTCCCTATGTTCAGGATACCCTCTAGGGAGGCAAAGAAATTGGAGAAATTAATGAGGGATTTCCTCTGGGAGCTAGGGGAAGAGAAAAAGGAACACTTAATAAGATGGGAGATGGTTTGTAGGAGAAAATAAGAGGGTGGGTGGGGGTTAGGGAATTTGACCCTAAAGAATGTAGCTTTGCTAGGTAAATGGTTGAGGAGATGGCCTTTGGAAAGAGAGAGGTTATGGCATGAGGTGATAACTAGTATTCATGGTTGTCTGGATAACGATTGGAATGCAGGAGCTTTTCGACAAGCAACATTGACCACTCCTTGGAAAGCAATTCACAGTATCCTACCCATGTTTCTGAACTTTGTCAAGTATGATGTTTGTTTAGGAATCTCTGTTTTATTTTGGTAAGATGTTCGGGTAAGTAAATCAGCTCTCAAGGACAATGTTCCGTCACTTTACTCCATCTCCCTGTTTAAGCATAAGGTTGTCTCCCATTTTCTTCCCTTCCCTTTTTCCTCTTTGGCTTTGAATTGGAATTTTGGCTGTCCTAGATAGTGTTTGTTTGGATCCTCTAAAGCCAGATAAGAGTATTTGGTCTCCCCACCCAAAAGGCGTCTTGACTTGTTCTTCTTTCTTCAAGGCACTTTGCTCTTCCCTTGCTCAGGATGTTTGTCCAATCAAGAAGCTTTGGATTAGACCCATTCCTCAAAGTTATTTTGTTCTACTGGGAAGTGTCTGATGGGAAGATCAATTCTTTAGACTGTTTGCAGAAGAAAAAGCCTTTCATATGCCTATCCCCTAATTGGTGTATTCTTTGCAAAGCCAATGGTGAGGATTGCTTCCACTTACTAACTTCATGTTCTTTTGTTGTAGCTTTTTGGGATTGGATTTTTGCCTTGTTTGGATGCAGGTGAACCAACCTTTAAATATAAGTCTGCTTTTTGACCAATCAACCTTTGTATGACCCACCAGAGGGCAGACTATGTGGAAATGTATTAGAGCTACTACACTTTGGGCAATTTGAGAAGAAAGAAATGCAAGAATCTTTCATGAAAAGGAAAGAAGCATCTTACTTGTTAAGGAATGTATCCTAACAAGGGCAATTAACTGGCTGAAAACTTTGGATTTTTTCCGCCATGTTTCCTTTGATAACTTTTGGAGAAACTGGTCAACAGTGGCAAATAGCTCCTCCAAAAAAGAAAAGGTCATTGTAGATTGGACTCCGCCACCAGACGAATGGGTTAAACTGAATTTTGATGGTAGTAGTTAAGGAAATCCTGGCCCACTAGCAAAGCATCTTGGCCTTATACTCTGGTCCAATGGGAACAAGAGACTCAACCAAGGCTGAACTTTCGGCAACTCTGCAAGGTATAAAAATAGCAAATCAAATAGGAGTTGAGCATCTCCTAGTTAAAGGGGATTCTAAGGTGGTTGTAGAGTGGTTAACAGACCCGAGCTCAGTAATTTGATGCTACAAGGACTTCCTGAAGAAGGCAAGCTGGTTAACAAGCAATATGAATGCTAGTACACATTGGGTGAGAAGGTCAGCAAATGCTATGGCTGATAGTCTCGCTAAACAAGGGATCTTGAGGGAACATCTGTATTGGGCAACCATGTAATGATTGATTATAGTGTATTGTGGTCTCTTACACTTACTTTCAAGAGAGGTAGCACCTCATGCCTCTCTTTGGGATCCTATTATCTTTGCTTACACTTTGATAATAAAGTAACTTTTCAATTATCAAATATATATATAAGTAAATTTGTCCTATATATTTTTAAAATTTTTTGAGAAGTTCGTAAAAATAGAATTTATTTTATGGTTTATGATATAATTAGATATTTGATTCGATTCAACTTTCTCTACGATTTACAGTTCAATTACGATTTTGAGGACACTGCCTAGTAGAGGTGTAAAACGGGTTGTGTCGGGCGGCACAACACGGCACGGCCCGTGGGCAGACCGCGCAAAATAAATTACTTTTATTAATTATTAATTACTTTAACATTTCTTTACTAAACATTAATTATTTTTTATTAAATTTATGTGTTATTTATTAATTAATAATTATTTTTATTAACTAGTAATTTTAATTATTTCAATAATTTTTAAAATTTATTTTAATTTTATTTGTGTAAATTATTAATTATTTTAATATTTTTATAGTCATTGTTTTTTTAATTTTAATCGATTCATTTATTAATTAGTAATTATTAATTTATTATTTTTATTTGTATTGTTTCGATATTATTTTGAGGTTGAAATATATTTTTATGAGATAATGCAAATTGAACTCAACATTTCCAAATAGTATGTTTTAGGGGTAAAATAGTAAAATCAGTAAATTTCAGATGGTAAAGGGTTGATCCAACACAAACAAACTTAGGATTCAGATCCTCTAAAAAGTAGAAAAGCATCTATGCTTCTTTTCAGATTTCAGACACTTTTAACATCTTTTTAACTTTTCAGATTTATCAAACGCCAACTTAGACCTAAGTTGGGTGCACGAATACTGCTGAATCACAAAGATCCTGCATCACTTATAACCTAGTTCAACATGATAGAACCGAGCACATCAAGGTACAACAGAAAAAGGCCACTGCTAGGGAATGTTTCCTTTTATGAGATCAAAAGATTACTTGGCTTAGCATGTTCACAAACATTGTAGCCAAGTCAGATTTTGTTAAAATTTAATGAAGCTAGCCATGAAAAATGTCTATGCTTATCTATGATTACGTCTAGCCTAACATTTATGGTTATGTAACTTTTTTATATAATATTCTTTTATAAGTTTCATGGTTACCAATCAGTATATATATGATCAGTTTGAGGGGATATTGATATACCATACTGTTTTAAATGGAAGGCCACTATTGTCTCGTACCCATAAAGGTATACTTGTCATTGTGCTATTCAGTATAAATATGAAACCAAGAGGCAGAAGGAACAATCTTTTTCTTGGCCATACATTTATTCTTCCACTCTTTTTTCTTCTTCTATTCTTCTCTTGCTCTTTATTCATCCTCTTCTGATTCAAATAACAAGAAATCAATCCAACTATAATAAAAGGCCATAACCCAATGTTCGCCCCAGCTATTTGAGGTCTTGGGAAGGGGTGGACTGGATACAGACCTAACCTCTGGAACATTTTTGCACAAAGTGGTTACTTTCAGACTCGAACCTGTGTTTACAGTTATCAAACCAAGATTTTACTATGACATCAAGCAATTACACCTTGTCTATCTATCCAACTACATGCAATAAATTTGCATCATGGATAAAAGGGAAAATATAAGCAGCATCAAGAAAAACTAGAAAATTTACCGGAGCATCCAAAATTGTAAACCTTGTGGTTTCTGTTTCAAAATGTGCACGACCAACCTCCACAGTTATTCCCTGTTTAAGCAACCAATAAATAATCATAGCTTTCTAACAAAGAATTAGGTAAAAACAATGCTCACAGATACAATAGTCATCAATGTTTAGAAAACCGGACTGGGCAAAGAACCGGAGAAGGGAGAGGTTCATGATCAAAGGTTCAACCTAAGTCAAACCGGAGGTCAGACTGTGATGATGTGGCATATACATATACATACTATGGGTCATATAAATACTATATATAATATATTTTATAATTTTTAATATATTTAAACATGGTAGTTAGATGGCAAGTTCCTTATTTTTTAAAGCAAATGACTAGGGCCCAAATCTCTTAATTTACATTTTCTTTAAAATACGTGTATAATAAAGTAATATGCACAACAAAGTCTCATTAATTAACACAAGTAAAGAGGTGGATTAATGGTAATTAAGCAATATAGAGAAATTAAAGGTCATGGGTTCAAGTCTTACAAAACACATTTTAAAATTTCAATTGTTAAAGACCAGGGCGGTTTCACAAAACTGGGACCGGTTCACCGGTTTTGGGATTAAACCAGCCTGTCATCCGGCTTTCACCGGTTTTTTATCAAGTGCAATTATTGGGGTAGGACTGAACCAGCCAAGGTCCCGGGTCACTGTTCAACCAGTCCGACCAGCCAGTCCGGTCCGTCTTTCTAAACACTAGTCATAGAATATGTCACCCATGCATATGAAAAGAAAAGCAACCAATACATGTTTCAACATTTTGTTGCAAAAACTGATATAGTATATAAGTAAAGCATATGAACAACTTAGAGCATACCTTTACACGCTCTTCCTCATTGGTGTCCATGATATATGCCATGTACCTGCCAAATAAAGTAGGTTTGTACTCAAATAAAGGAAATTTAATAAATTAAGAACTATGAACTAATTTTCTTGTGCTTGCTCCACTGAAAGTACTGTTCGATGCAAAGTAAAACAACATTTGGAACTTGTAAAAGAAATGGTCAAAAAATCATAAGATTATAGTAAATACTTAAATCTCAATTTTCCAAATTTTGAGGTCAAAAAACCATATGGGCAAGAAAAATTACGCATACAAGGAAATGCACTATGGAGTTAGTGCTTCAAAAGCAATTCTAAGACCACAGAACTTCAGTACCAGTTAGCCAGTATGGGTATGAACGAAAGAATGTGTCAAGAAAACTGAAAAATGGAGTTTCACCATGAAATCATGAAGGGAAGATACAAGACAGTTCCAATAGATATTTTTTTGATAATTTAGTAGTACAATAGATATTTTTTTGATAATTTAGTAGTACAATAGATATTATTAGACTAAATAATTCATATTGTGGGTAATGGGTTTATAGTATTAATAGTATTATTCTTACACTAGTTTCCAGTGTTTTAAGAGCACAAGGCACAAAAAAGTGCAAAGGCAAATTTGTTCCCGAGGCACGCGCCTTTTTGAAGCAAGGCGTAAAAATATAAAAAATGACAAAAAATCAAAAACTATATATATATAAACCTAAATTTTAAAATAAATGTTTTAAAAAACCTATTATCTAAAATTAAAATACATAAACATAACATGTAAAGCATATTCAAATCAAAATTGGAAAATAAAATCAAACATATAAAACATTTTCAAGGATGTAAAACCCACAATCTCTTTTTACCTAAATTGCATTACTTCAAGTAGATAATGTGATGTAAAATATATTGCATTCCTGATTGTACGAGCCACCTTTGTACCAAGTCCCTTAAGGAAGACCCAAAAGTCCATGTTATGGTCTTAAATTCTTAATTCTCACACAAAAAAAAATAATGATTTTAAGAAGATATTTTATTAGGATGAATGAATGAACAACATTTGCAAATAGGGGGTTCTCGGAGCTTTGGTGAGCAAGCAAAGCGAGCGAAATATCTTCTTAAAAGGCAATTAAAATTCTAAAATCATTATCTTTTGTGTTGAGAATTAAGAATTTAAGACCCTAACATGGACTTTTGGGATTACCTTGAGGGGCAAGATCAGGGGTCTAGGGGCAGAGCCCCCGGCCCAGTCGCTAGGTCCAATAAAGAACAAAAAAGCATAAAAATTTAAAAAGGTGCACACCTGGGCTGAGGTGCAAGGCGCACCAGGCATGCGCCTTTTGATAGTGTTGAACCTAAGACCTAGGCAAGGTGCATACCCTAAAATCCTAGGATATATATTTTTTATTTTAAAAAACCCATCGCTAGGCAACTAGGCAACAAGGCACTCCCCTATCGCCTAGCTTACCTTAGCACCTTGAAAACTATGTTGAGAAATGCTTTAGCCTCTTAATTGATAGCATAAGACTTAGGCACTTAGCCCCTATTTGGGATCTGTGGGACCACACAACAAGTGGCAAAAAAGCACTTATTCATGTTTGGCGAAAAAAGGAGCAAACCTAACCCTAGATTGATCCCCAACCCAACCCAACCCAACCCAACCCACCCAAGTTACACCCTTCTCATTACCCAAAGTTTGTCCTAGTTATTGGACTAGACACAAACCTAACCCTTCAGCACTTTGTTACATGAAATATCCGCTTTTGGATTCAAATTCTCCATCTGTTTTACTGTTTATGATGCATATAAATACCTCATTAATGGGATAAGTGATACCTCTTTAGTGTTTATTAGATAAATGAAAACCCAAGCAATTCCATTTAATTCCCTTGTTTATCATAAATACTTAATCCCAACATGACTTCTAAAAACAACCATTTAAGTGGCTCAATACTAAAGTTTGTAATGTATGAAAATTGCTAAATGAGTGCATCAAATGACATATTAATGATCACAAATAAAAATGTATCGCCAAGGCTTATAACCATCCAAAATTTCAAAACCAAGACAAGAACTAACCAACTTTCTCGACTCTTATCCTTGGCCTCTTTTTCATATTTCTGGATCGTTCGATCATCAACCTGACCACTAAGGAAGAGTATCTGACCTCCAATGGTTGACTTTCCTGCATCTGCAACCCACATGAAACATATTCAATAACAAACAAAAACAATGAATTGAAGCCAATAGATCTCGTAATTCATAAGGACACAAGCAACATTACACAACTTCATAGTTTTAATTGAAAATATCCTAATCAGAACACTAGCTTCCATATAGCAACCAATTCAGTCATGGTTTAACACCCAACATAAACTTAAAACTGATAACATGATTACAGTAAAAGGGTATCACAACCAAATGGTGGTCCAATACCAAATGGAGAAAGCAACCTAAGCTGGTATAATGAAGCAAAGATGATAGCTGGGTAGAAAAGATCTTTTAACAACAACTAAAAGGGAGGCCACATGTGATGCACATGGCTGATTTAAGTGACAATATTTAGTTATGAAGCTCCATTGGTGGCACATGAATCAAATTCATATGCACTTGGCACTTGCAGCATCTTTGAACAAGGTGGATGCAACCCCTCTCCATCATACAAGGAGTAATATCCTAGGAAGGGTAAGGCAGAAGAAGACAAGAAGGGAGGGACTGGTGGGATGCAGAGAGTAGTTAAGGATTCTGGTGTGGCTTCTGTTCATGTTGACCTTATTCCAAACAAAGATACGTTTGATGAAGACGGTGAGAACTCTTTGGTTGCTGAAGTGGTAGTTAGAAAGCTAGGTGTAGATTTAGGGTGTAGGAGGAAGGAACTCAAAAAATCCAAGTCCAATGCTTTAGTGGAATATTTGAAAGAAAAAAAATCAAGAGCCTCAAACAAAACCCATTAGTGCATGTTACAAAAGTTTTCTGTGACTGAAAGATGGTCTTTTGGGGGCAGGCCCAACTAACAAATTTAAAAAACTGTACAAAAGAAAAGGGATTAAATCCAAAGGCCCGAGACTTGACTCCATCCGAGGAAGTTTAGAAGGTGCAATTTTTTGGATATTCCTCAAAGGAGTCCTGATATACCGTTGAATATTCCTCAAAGGGGGAGTTAAAGTGGGGGCTTGGAAGAAAAGAAGAAAGAGGATAAAGAGGTGGAGGTGAGGTCGGCAAGTCTTTGGGTCTATTCTCTTGGGCGGTGAGGCTTTTGCGAGAAGAGCTCTTGAGGAGTAGAAGAAGAGGGAAGAGTCTTAAGAAGACCAGTGTTGGGGGAAGTGGGAGAAATTTGGAATGAGGAAGGAAGATTATTTTGATGAGGCATGAGCTTGTTTGCTTAGGCGTTGTCTCTGGGGCAATCTGAGCTGCTGTTAACAAGGGTTTCTTAATGTGTTTTCTGGTGGCCTTGCTGCCCTTCTTGTCGTTTAGTTGAGTATGCTTGCTTTGCGATTGTTGGATGATTGTTGCAAGAAGAGCTTTTAAGGAGTATGAGAAGAGGAGGGAAGAGAGTCTTAAGAAGACCAGAATTGGGGAAGGGGAAGAAATTTGGAATGAGGAAGGAAGATTATTTTGATGAAAAGGTCTGAGCTTGTTTGCTTAGGTGTTGTCTCTGGGGCGATCTGAGTAGCTGTTAAGAAGGGTCTCTCTTTTTTTTATCAGTAAAAAGATTGTATATCAATAGTCGCAAGAAATAAACAATACAAGCCTCCCACAGAGAGGTACGAGATGCTACCTCTCACTTAGACTTTAGAAAAGACAGAAAAAACATAAATCAATTACAACTGAGCCCAATACAAGCTATCCCTGTTTACCCCTTGTTTAGCTAGCCTATCTGCTATAGCATTAGCTGTTCTCCTAACCCAATTTATTCTCATGTACTTGTTCCTGGTTAGCCATTTAAATTTCTTCATCTCAAACCCTATAACACCAAATTATCGAGTATGGATCTTTCAACCAACCAATTACCAGCTTTGAATCCCCTTCAATCTCTAAATTTGTCACACCCAGTTCATTTGCAATCTGTACCCCTTTCATGACAGCAAGCAGTTCTGCCCTCATAGAGTCCCCTGATCCCACAGGACCGGAGAAAAGAGCTATAACGTTTACTTCCTTGTTTCTCAACACCTCTCCTACACCTGAGGGGCCTGGATTACCTTGGCTACTCCCATGAAAGTTTAATTTCACAAAGTCTTCAACTAGAGGTGTCCACAGAACCTTCTCTTTTACTCTTGAGGAGGAATTTTTTGCCACTGCCTTCCAATTTCTCCATAAACCATCAAAGGACCAATGAAAGAAAGAATCCAGGGTCCTAAACTAATATATCACCTCTTTACTTCTCTCCTTTCCTGAGAAGATTCTATTGTTTCTTTCTTCCCACAAAGTCCAAATTATTGCTGCTCCAGCACTTCTCCACATGATCCCTCTCTCTTTTTAGGCCAAATGAAGGTAGAAGGGTCAAAAAGCTTATGTACCTCCGTTTGCAAAGCCCACCAGCAACAATACAAAGAGAAAAGCCATTACCAAATATCTGCAGCAAAAGGACAGGAAATTAGTAAGTGGGAACAGTTCCACTTGCTTTGCGATTTCCACATTAAGAAGGGTTTATTAATGTGTTCTCCGGTGGCCTTGCTTCCCTTGTTGTCGTTTAGTTGAGTAAGCTTGCTTTGCAATTGTTGGGTCGTGATATCTTAGCACCTTCTTGGTTGTTCTTAGTTTTTCTTTAACAAATTTTTGTTCTTTTATTATCAAAAATAATATCCTAGGCAAAGACTTTTTGTGGCAAGCCTGTAACCATTCATGTCTAGACTTTGGTTCCTTCCTACCCTTTTCTGCTAGAGGTAGGACTGTCAATGGACTGGATATTGGCCCAACCCAGTCTAGTCCAACATGAGTCTATTAGACTATTACAAATGGACCAGGTGCAATCAAATCAGATTAATATCTGGACTGGTCCAATTTAATGTTTTATTGAACCATCCAACCTATTCAAAACTTCAAATTGCTTCTAATTCAGATTGCATCCAACCCAAACCTAGTCCACTGACACCCCTACTCTTATCTTCTGTCTATGGACCAGATATTGGCTCAACCCAACCAAGGATTAAAATATTGATATGCACCAATACCCATTTTGGCAATGTTCTAAAAACCGTAATCATACCGTAAATCGTAGAGAAAATTTAATTGAATTGAATCGTGAATTGTATCATAAATCGTAAGATTATTTCTATTTTTTAAAAACTTGTAAAAAAAATAAAATATTGGATATGGCAAAAGGCAAAATATATATAGAAAAGAGATTCTACCCTATTTTTAATCCATATCTACCATGTATGCACTTAAATCAATAGTATTTACCACTTATACAATAGAAGTCTAAGATGATATAATCAAGTTTGACTTGAAACTTGAAAGTCAAATAATCTAATACAATGATTCTTTATCCTATATATGATGGAAAATAAACTAAATATATTGTTTAAATAAAGTAAATAAGTCAATTTCTAGTAGTGTCTTTATAACAAGTCACCTTTGCCAAAACTAAATATTAACAAACTAAAATGACAAAGTAGAGAACTAATTCTTAATTAATTTGATTTGAATCGCAAGAATTGTAGTAAGTCGTAAGATTTATGATTCAAATAGTAGGACTCAAACAATAATCGTAACATTTTTTGCAGAAAAGGATTCAGACATAAGATTCAAATCAGAACCCTTGGGATTCATGATTCAAATCATTAATCATATCATAAATGGTAAAACTTACAGTCCATGGGTATTAACCCCCTGACTGTGAAAATGGCATCAACACCACTGATCAAGAAAGGAATGGCATCAACTAGGCCACAGAAGAATAGAACAAAATAGAAGCAGAAGAGGTGTTGGATTGGGAGTCATTGAAGCAACAAGATCCAGAGTCTAGGATTGGTAGATGATTGATGTCCATCATAGGAGAGTTGAAGCAGTTGCAGATGAAAAAAAATGTTTTGGATTCTGGTGGCTCGCATCTTGTTATATGTGTGGTGCAAGCAGACACTTTTGGCGATAGGAAGTGCATGTGGATGATTATTGATTCAAAAACAGACTAATGAGATAAACCACAGGCTACAAGGGTTCTGATTGAGACTCAAACCATAGTTCCATCTTTTATTGATCTGTCTTTTCTGTGTGTGTGTGTGTGTGAGGGGGGAGTACATGAAACTAGACTGATGACCAAAGGTGAAGATCCTAACGTAATAGAGGAATTGACAGTTGACACAATGGATTTAGATTGATCATGGTGGACTTTCAAGTATTACTAGAGAAAGTTGAGCTTGAAGAGAAGACAATGTATCGTGCATGGAGTTGGCACACAAAGTCAGGAGAAAAGGTTGAAAAGTGGGTTTACACTCTTCTGGTATTGCAAATATGAGCTTTGATGATGTGGCAATTATGGTATAGAGAAGTGGAGCAGTCAGCAATCAGATATAAATTATTTAAATATTAAATGCTTCTATAAAGCCAAGAGGGGGAAGAATGGGTTTACACTTAATAGGGAAAGTAAATGGATCAAGGTATAGACACAGGAGTTTATCCTTTTTTTTTGATAATTGATTAAATATGTTTCATTTTTAACATATAAATCATTTAAGGTAAATAAAATATTTTTTATAATTTTCAGTTTTTATTAATTTTGTTGAAAAGATTTATTTATTTAGTATTTTTATATAAAGAATAATTCCATTTTTCAAATAAAAATGTGTTTTCATTTACAGGAGTTTATCTATTTTCTCGAATTGAAAATGTGACAATGGTGGGAGGTGGTGAGATAAATGGGGATAAACATGGTATAGAGAACTAGTGGGAGGTGGTGAGATAAATGGGGATAAACATGGTATAGAGAACTTGTGGGAGGGTCAATAGGCAAAAGAAAGCATTTAGAAAGGGTTTGAAGGGCAGTTTCAGGAGTGACTCGTCAGGCATTCATCCAATTAAATCTGGTGGAACATATGAGGTTTTTGAAGAATCCAATGAAGATGAATACAAGGAGATTTAGGGGTGAGAGAGAGAAATCAAAACTGTGTGTGGTCTATTTCTTCTTCGGGCTCCTTTTCTTGCACTACATTTTTCAAGTCTTTCTACCATCTTGTTCCTTCAATCCAGGATTTTCAAATCAGATCCATTTGGGCAGGACCTATTTCACCTAAAATTAGGGCCTTGTGTTGGGAAGTGTGCCACTAGAAGATCAACTCATACTGAAACTTGGAAAGGCAACGCTATGGCTGAAAGGCTTTGTCAATGGAGCAACTTATTCAGTGAAAAGGATTGGTTGGAAGAGTCATCTGGTGCTAACAAGGAACAGTTATGAAGCTGAACTGAGATGTATAAGGAAAGGCTGGTTTGTCACAGTTACATAGGTCTTTGTGGATTGAAAGAAGTAGATGGTATGTATTCAGGAAGGAAACGAGGGTGAAGGTTGGAAGAGATTCGCAGGTAAGTTACAAAATTACCTGTTTATTATTGAAAAAGGCAAGATGGTAAGGCAATCTTCTGCAGCAGATGATAAAGAGATGTTTAGCATGACGGAAACGAAGACTAAAGAAATGAGGATAGTTATTCAAAGTCTTTAAAGAAGCAAGGAAAATGAACAACCATAGAAGGTATGTTCCAGCCCTTCTTCTTCTGTAGCAAAAACAGGGACTCTTCTTTTTCTTTTTCTTTTTCTTTTTCTTTTTCTTTTTCTTTTTCTTTTTCTTTTTCTGGAACAAAAACAGGGGCTCTGCCCCTTCTTTTCTTCTGGAGCAATAACAGAGGCTCAGCTCCACCCCTGGAACAAAAAAACAGGGTCTCCGCCCCTTCTTTTTCTTTTTTTTTTTTTGAACAAAAATAGGGGCTCCACCCCTTCTCCATCACTTCTGAGGTTTTTATTCATGTTTTCTTTCATTTTTCTATGACAAGAACAGGGGTTTCACCCTTTCTTTTACTCGTATTTCTACAACAAAAACAGGCGCTCAGCTCTTGGTTGTTCTGTCCTTTTTTGAACATTACATGACACCTAGGCGACTAAGCACTCCCTTGTCGCATAGGTTCACCTTGGTGCCTTGAAAACTATCCTCTCTCTCCAATGGTTAATGTTTGTCACATCTCCCTTTCCCCATTAAATCCCTTATTTCCTATTAAATCTTTTTTTACCCCTTTGACACTCTTAATAAAGTAGGGGTATTAGGTAGGTTTGGGTTAAGGACCAACTGTAGACAACAGGCCCGAGCTGGACCCAAGCTGATGTCAAATCCCAAATTTGCCAACTCAGTCCTAACCAAATTTCTATTCAACCACATGTGCTTACTTGCTAGGTAAGACTTAAGAAGAGTTATGCGTTGTTTCACCAGCTGAATTGGGTTTGCCTGGTTTGTTGTTGTGTGCTGTTGAGTTTGGATATTAGCATTTTCTGTGTTTTTTTTAAATTCAAGTTGTGTGGTTGAATATATAAATCTGTATGTTATTAGGGGTTCAGGTGATGCTCTCTCACCAGGCCTCGCAATCTCTCTCCATCTTATTTTTGTTTTTTGATGGATTTTCTTTATTATCAAGAAAAGGCTACAGCTACTCCACAACTATCTTTACTAATATGAAACACAATATCCCTTAAATTCAAAAAGGTACAGAAAGGAGCATATCAAGGTAATAAAACATTCAAACAAGATATTATAGAAGGACAAGTCCAAAAGTTGAAAGAAAATAAGAACTAAAAATGCTAATAAAAGAATAAGAATTAGTGACAAACCACCTAAACAGAAATTACATAATTAATTGCCAAGTCAAAAAAAAAAAAGCACAAGAAGAAATCCAACATAAATAAAACTAAGTGATAATTTTCCTGCACGGTTGGATAACTTCTAATTTATGTCAACTAGTGGAATTCACAAACCACAACTGTGCCACCCAAAATAATGTAAGCAGAAAGAGGTATGATAAATGAAATTCAAAATGTACCAGATGCACCACATCCACAACATGACAACTCGATGCAGTAAGAAACCTAAAAGCTAAGCTAATCAAAAAAACATTAAATATTGTATGGATATAGCCCCCAAACTCATGATGGCTTACCAACATGACCAATAAATACAACATTTAGGTGCCGCTTCTTGTTTTCATCATTTTCATCTGGTTCCTCGACATTTTCTGGAGCTGGAGCAGCTATCTCCTTATCTTTCACTGAAATCTCAACAGAATGCACAATAAAGTGATCAATGAAAAATATCAAAAACAATGACAGAATAACCCATTAATGTGCTCAATTATAAGGAAGAGAGAAAAAACATGATATTGCACCTTTTGGCTCTTTCTGCAATGGCTCAGTATTTGCCTGGACCTCATCCTTGCTGTCTGAAACCAGCAATAAAATAGAGAAGTTTAGAGGATGTGCTTCTGTATTGGCATCAGATGGTAGTATGGTACATACTCTATGGTACTTGCTATCATTGAGGAATAGAGATAAAAGCTATGAACTATTACACTGGCAACATTACATTCTCACTTAGTATTATAGCAAGCCAAAATAGGATATGGCAGTCAATACCTTTTTCTTCTGTGACCAACAAAAATGTACTGCATTAATATCAAAAGCAAAGCATACATAAAAAGACCCAATTTAGACATTCAAACCAGGGCAATACCCTATTTCTATATAAAATGTACAGAAGAAAACACCTACACACTAAAATGAGATTCTCGTACCAAGTCATCCCTGAAACCCCACCCCCTCTAGTAAGCTCATCAGTAATTAAGTTGCTCAATGTCAACTGATAACTTTGAAATGATCTTTTTACAGCACTACTGATGCAGGAGCTGAAGAGTCAAAATTGGAATTTAATGATTTTCTGTATTTTTGGACAGTAGGGGTATTTTTGTCATTTTGCACTTTTCTGTGGGGTCCAATGGTAGGGTTTATTTTGTCTAGTTATAGTTTGTTTTTGTTTAAAATTTCAGAGTCATTGCATAAATAGGATTAGAGTTATTGAGTCTTCTTTGAATTAAAGTAGGATATGACAACTTAGTTTGAATCCTACCAGAATTATTGAGTCTAACAGTTTGACTCCTAAGACTATTATGAGATTAACAGTTTGACTCCTAGGATTATTATGAGTTTAGAGTCTATAAATATGTATGGACGTTTTACACAAAGGCAATGAAGTTTATTGAGTATTCTTCAGCTTATGCTAGCTATGGTGTGATTCCCATGCCCTAGAGTGATTCTAGGCACCCTGTGAGTGATTCCAGGTATTTTCTCTCTTCTTTCTCTCCCTATTACCTCTCTTATTCCTTCAAGAAACCATTACAGCCATCAACAGCCGTAAAATTCTGATCCATGAAGACCATTCACATTCTCTAAGGACTAGAACTGAGCTGGTCCTACATCAACAACATATGTTGTTTTGTAGCTAGCAAAAGAATTAAGACGGAGAAGAAAAAAAGAAGCATAAGTGTATTATATACACATGCTAACATAAGAATGAATGAAGAGCAAAATCATAACAAGCAAAACATAAATCCTTCTAAAGATATGACTAGCATACCTGACCAGACTATTTACATGCCCAGACATTATGGAAATGGCTGCTCAGTTATATAAACCTCGACCGAACAGTGTAAGTGGATCAATTGAGCAAGAGATATATAAACTAAATTTTTTATTCTATGTCCCAAGCCAGCCAGCTAATTTTAAGCAGTGAGGTTGGAGAAAATGCTCTAATTCATCAATGAAACCTTATTTTTCCGTGTTTCTATTGAGGAGCATCTATAATATAATCTCAGATGGTTTCATTTGGCCTCCAGAATAAGGGTCAACAAGCAAAAAAGTGAGATACGGGTTGTAGGATAAATATCCGATGTGGGAATCTTGGAAGATACACTTGGGTGTAGTGTAGAGAAGTTGCTATCGAAGTATTTGGGTTGTAACTCTTTGTGCTAGGTGTTTTATCCAGAAGCATTTGGGATTAATTGCTAGAATGCTTTAGTAGAAGGTTGGCCTCTTGAAAATTCAGGTACCTAACAAAAGGGGCAAATTAGTATTCATGAAGAGTGCATAGCCTCTTAGCAACTTATTAGTCTTTCTTTCTTTTGCCTGTTGACATGGCCAAGCAATTGGAAAAGAGAGATTTTCCATGGAAGGGATGGAAAGAAGAATTCAATTTTCACCTGGTCGGTTGGAAGAACATCTGTAGTCTGTACCCCTTAAGAAGGGAGATCTATAGGTAAGAAATTAGACTATTAGAGAACCTTCAACATGGTGTTTGCTAGAAAAGTTGCATTGGAGGGAATAATGAAGAACCAGACAGTCCGTTGAGGCAAGTAATAGCAACGAAATATGACACAACTGAGCTCGATTGGACACCAAGGAGAAATATTTCTTACTACCAGTGTGCTATATATAAGGTATAAGATTGGTCAGGGCAATCAAATTAGATTTTGGCAGGACAAACAGTGTGATGAACAACTATTAATGAAAACTTATTGATAAAAAAAACATATTAGTGTAAACTTTCCCATCTCTGCTTTTGGTGGCATAAAACAGGGAGGCATTAACCAAGTACTATTATGAAGCACTAAATGAAAATGTTATATGGAATCCCCAATTTAGAAGAACATTGAATGACTGAAAGGTGGAATCAATGGTGGAGCTATTGCAAAGAACTCATTAACTCAAACTGTTACACCAAAGGTGAGTCAAACATGTAAAAGGCATAGGGAGTGGGACAGGACAGGTATTTTTTCTGTCAAAGTTTTCTTCAAGAAGCTGGACCATTACACTAGAATCAACTTCCCCAGTCACATAGTCTAGCAACCAGGAGCAAAAACTAAAGTGAAATTCCCAGTGTGGACTGTAACTCTAGAAAAGTGCCTAGTTGTTAATAGGTCAGTTGGGGCCTTTTTTATGATAAAATAAAAATTTATTAAAAGAAAAAAGAGAATACAAGAAAGCAAGGTTCAAAATATCGATACGCCCGATGCGCTGGTAGAGGTGTATCAGTCAGTATCGATAGCATTTTTTTGGTTTTTTTTTCAAATCTGGTTGAGAGGGTCTGGTTTAAGGTCCATTCACCCCCTGAACCGGTCAAAATCCTGAAACACCCCCTGGAGGGGCGTATCGGGAAGCCCCTAATACGACACGTATCGAAATTTCGAACCTTGCAAGAAAGGTGATAAAAATCACCCAAGAGAAGAAGTAAAAAAACCTCCTACGACAACACACCAAACCCATCCTGCCAACACTAAAACAAAACACACCAAGAATGTAAAACTATGATAGAGATGGAAAAAGCATCTATTTTTACATTGCCATTTTACGACAAAACCGTATCATGTAATCTTAGATGGCTTTTGGGTGGAGAAGCTACTTTTCAGCTCAGCTTCCATTACTCTTTTTTTATGAATGATAATAAATTTATTAATTCAAAAGCAGATTTAGAGTGAGTTCATACAACATCCCA